TCGGCAGTTCAGTGGTTCAAATCCTAGTGCCATGTAATGGAGTGAGCTCCCATTACTTGACCCAACTTCTGCCAACCTAGTAGTTCGAAAGCATGCAAAAATGCAAGTAGAAAAATAGGCACCACCTTTGGTGGGAAGGTAACAACGTTCCTTGCGCTTTTGGCGTTTAGTCATGCCGGCCACATGTCTACGGAGACCTCTTTGGACAGCACTGGCTCTTTGGCTTTGAAACAGAGATGAGCACCACCCCCTAGAGTCAGGAATGACTAGCACATATGTGCGAGGGGAACCTTTACCTATTTTTCAGGTAGAAAAATGAAGTTTTGCAGAAAAATAATAATTTTCTTTAATTACACATAGAAGGTTTCAGTGAAGTGTTATGATTACTATTCAAAAGGATCTCAGAAAAAAATTATTTTAAGGGTTCAATAAAATTTGTTCCCTGTGTAAATATGGTGCTTACAGTTTCTTTTCTGACTTGAATGTGAGTAGGGACAGTTGCAGAAAAAACCAAGAATATAAAACCTATTCTGACATTAATAGAATTTATTCTGCATCATTTTTAAAAAAAATATTGAAAGCAAATGCTCTAAGAGGGATAATTTATGCAGGCTAATTTTATCTTCTACCAGCTGAGCCTTTCGGTCCATCTGATTCAGTATTGTGTACTGTGACAACTCCCATTATTTTTTATTTTTTTAAATCAGAGATGCCAAAATTTAAATCTATTGCATCCAAAGTTTGTTCCCTTTGAACTATGATTCTTTCCCTATGGTATCAGTTCTGCTTTTACAAATTACCATGTTTTCTAGCAAATTCTTTTCAATATCTTTTTTTTTTTTAGATATTCAGAACAATGTTGAGATTCAGTGTGAATCTGGCTGGTATGCGAACAATGGATTTTGCTATATGCTAAAGAACAACATTGCTTCATGGAATGATTCATATCAATTATGCAGTGAACTCAATAGTAGCCTGATCAGTATACATTCCTTAGCAGATGTTGAATTAATTATTACAAAACTCCATAATGGTAAGTTGGAATAAACATGGATAGGAGTTGCTCTTGTTTTTTCTGTTTAAACATTACTCTCAATTTGAGGTTGGAATGTACAGTAAAAATAATTTGATTAAAGGTTAATCTAAATCTCTGGTATTACTAAATCTATAACCACATGTTCATTAACTTACAGATAGTTGTTGCTTAATGATGACAATTGGAATCAGCAACTCAGTCGCTGACTGAGCAACATGGTTGTTAAGAGAGACATTCCATGACCATGATAGACTTAGAGTCTCACTTCCACCACAGTCATTAAGCAAGACTTCACATGACTTTGACTTGCAGTTTTATGGAATCTTCTCCATTTACTCTGCTTGTCAGAAGCCAGCTGTGAATCAAATGGCTATTATGTGATTGCAGTGATACTGCAATGGTTGCAAATGTAAAGAACCAAAGGTTTCAGTGCAATCATAATTTTGAACAATTGTTAAATAAGGCAGTTGTTAAGTGAGGACTATCTGTATTTATTTGCCCTTCCGTGTGGCAAATACAGCAACAAAAAACCAGCATATGCTATTAATCTGGGCAAAAGTCTGTCTGCTAGCCAAGCCTTTCATTCCAGTACTATTATGACACAAATGAAAAGTGGCTATAGGAAAAGTTCTAATTTTTGTTAGATAGTTTCTATTTTTTTCAGAGAGAGGCTGTTTCAAGGGGAGGAGTCAAGTGAGGAATTAGTTTGGAATCCTTAGGTAGGCATAAGAGGGCAAGGTCTGCCCCAGTGGTGATTTTTTTTTTTTTTTTACTACCAGTTCTGTGGCCGTAGCTTGGTGGGTGTGGCAGGGGAAGGATACTGCAAAATCTCAATTGCCTCCCCACTCTGGGGCCAGCCAGAAGTGGTATTTGCCGGTTCTCCAAACTACTCAAAATTTCCACTACCAGTTCTCCAGAATCTGGCAGAACCTGCTGAATTTCACTCTTGGTCTGCTCCCTTCTTCAATGCGTTGAACCTTATCTAATCTGGTCCAGGTGCAGATTGTCAGTCTGGAAAGATTCCTAAGAAATAGGCATGAACAACAAAGCAGCTAATTGAACTCTATACATGTGGATCTGGTTGTCTGTGCCTAATACTTTTGCCTCATGATTTTTGAACTGCTTGATTTTCTGCTTTAATTGTAGATACAAAAGACAAAATATGGATAGGATTACTAAATAAAGACAGTCCAGCCCTGTTTAAATGGTCAGATAATTCCAAAGTTATATTTACATACTGGGATCAGAATGAGCCAAGGGTTTCCTTCAAAAGCCTTCCAAACTGTGTCTCCTATTCTGGAAAGGTAAGGATCTTTTGGGATGTTTTATAATGACTTGACTTAAAAGTGTTTTATAAACTTCATAAAAGGCAAAGTGTATGACTCGTTTTATCAAAGAGATCTAGTATTTCTTTTGCACTGAAAAATTAAATAATGACAATGAATTAATTAATTAAACAGGGAGGCTGCAGAGTTCTAAAAGAGGATGTGATGGGGAACTTGAAATCATTCACATATATTCTTTGGTTATTTGTAATCGAGTGTGATGATGCAACTCTCCACTTACTGCAATTTCACCAAAATGATTTACTTCTTTGAAAGAAATTTCAAATGCTCTTTTATGAGATTGAATGAAAAGTGTTTAAAACGGGTGGGTTCTGGCAGTCGCTACTGCTAGTTCACTCATGGGCGTGCTGCCCGTGCACGCATGTGCAGTACAATAAAGAAAAACAAGATCGCAGTACCTACAGCAGCGCCAGGAGAACCGGTTCGGGGATGTGGCAAACCTGGGTCGCTACCTGTTCCAGCGACCCAGGCTACCAAACCACTACCAGTTTGGCTGAACCAGTCTGAACCGGTAGGAACCCACCACTGGTTTAAAAGCTGAAGGGTTTTTTTCTGTTTAGCAATCCTAGCCATGTTTACTCAGAATTAAACCCCTCTCATTTCAATGGAACTTAACATTCATTATTGCAAATTTAAATTTGGTGCTGTTTCCCAGTCCAGAAAAAGAGATGAGATTTTCTATAACTCTTGTTCACAGGAGTAACAGGAGGAATAACTAATAATTAAGTTGAATTATATTTTAACCTCATTTATGCTATCTTATTTTAATTCAAAGTTCTATGAGAAATATATCCTACAGTTATATTTCAAGAATTTTAGTAGGGAAATAAGATTTTTTTTCTATGTATTTTTATAACTTATAAAAAATAAGTGCAAAAGTACATGAACAATTGAAAAACAATTCATTTGGATGATTATGTCTTTGAGAATTCTAAAATTATTGATTTCCTTTTCTTTGTAGTTTGGCCGATGGAACATCCTACCTTGTAACAATAAACTTAAGTTTGTGTGTATGAAAAAAGGGAAAGTTTTAGAGGAACAAAAATCTGATAAAGACTGTTCCCCAAGTAAGGTAAAGACAGAAAAATTTCTGTTCTAAATGAAAGCTAAACTTTAATTAAATATATTTTGTATATTCAACATTCTTGCTGCTTCAAGTTCAATAATAAGTTATAACTCAGAGTACATTTTGTAGATTTGTTCCATAATTCTCATTTCTGTGTTTTGACTATTTCTTTACTTTTGCATCCATTTTATCATGCAGTTCTTTATTTGTTCAGTCTCTGTGTAACTAATTTTATATATAAGCCCTTGTAGTTGATATTGGTTCTGTATGAGCATTTCAAATTATTTCATTTTTCTTAGAAAAATGAACAACATTTTTGCTGTCAATTTTTATCTTTCTAACAATTTGCAAGTACCATAAATCAACCTTGATATGTTCCAGCCTTTGCCAAGTAGTTATTGGTATGTCTTTAGTCTGTTCATGGAATCTAAATGGATTGTATTGTAAATGCACTTTTCGTATTATACTTAGCTCCAAAATAGAAAATATTCAAAGGAGAGACCAACACTGAGATTGTTGGACTTACTATTTTTCTCATAATATTTTATTTATTAGATTTGTTATCCATCTCGCTTTGAGGTGATTCTGTATTTTTATCAAGCTTTATCTTATATTATGTCCTTTTAAATTTTCATAACCTTGTAGCATAACTTTTTATGAAGCCTGTTCAGAAGACAGGCTCCTAATGTTCTACAGTTTGCAGAGTTTATCCACCCTGTTAGCCATGACAAATATTTTGCAATGTAATACAGTTTAACATTTGGAAGTGAGACCACTTCTATTTTAGAATCTTGTAAGCAATTAAATTAAACTCTAGGGTTTTTCTGCTCCATAAAAATTTATTTACAGTTTTTTACCATTCTTGTACAACCAAGAAAGCTTTATGTTTTTCCACCTTTCAAGATTTCTTTTAATTTCTGTCCATAATTTGACATAAATATTTTGATATATTTCTTGATTATTTCCTGTCAAATAGCAATAGCACTTAGACTTATATACCACTTCACAATGCTTTACAGCAGGGATCCCCAACCTCTGATTCATGGGCCCATAGTAGGCTGGGGGCTAATCGTTACTGGACTGCATGAGCAGCCTACTCATACCGGCCAGCCCTTCATGCAGCCCAGGGGTGATTAACTTGTGTCCTGGTAGTGGGCTGTGGACCACAGGTTGGAGACCTCTGCTCTAAAGCAATTTACAGAGTCAGCATATTGTCCTCAACAATCTGTGTCCTCATTTTGCAGACCTCAGAAGGATGGAAGGCTGAGTCAATCTTCAGCAGCCGAGAATCAAACTGCTGGCAGCCAGCAGTCAGCAGAAGTAGCCTGCAGTACTGCATTCTAATCACTACCACACCATGGCTCTTATAAATACAACTTAGATATTTCAGAGAAACTATTATTTGGCAGGCAAATTCTCCCATAGGAAATTATTTTCTTTCTGTATTAAACCTCATGTATATTTTTTTTTAACATTGATTTTATATGTAGAGAATTCCCCAAAGCCTTGGAATATTTTCAACAACTATTTTATTGTATTTCATGGTTCTGTGATTTTTTTACTCTCATTAGTTTTTATAGGTGTTCATGTTTTGCCTTGTATATCACTAGTTTAGAAATGTACATGAGCGTTCAGGAAATGGGTATTACATACAGGAATGGCCATGCCACCACTGGAAGACTTAAAGGATCAAATTAGGGGCAGATCAGCAGGGAGAAGATCTATCTCTCTGGTCACTCAGAGTCGATACCAACTTTACCATTCACAATCAATCAATGTTGATACTGCCCCCCCCCAAAAAAAGCTAGAAGAAAAATCATCCTCTGATATTTTTTTAAAATTATCTTTCTATATTTGAACAAACATTGTATCACTGGAAGTTCCAGCTGAAAATCTGTCTTGAAATTTGGACTGCATAATAGTCTATGTATTTTAATTTTACATTTAGTTTCTGTTTTAAGTAAACTGTTAAGTAAAACTTAATATGGTTGTATGACAGGATCTTAAAATGTGATATTGTAAATAGCAAGCTGTTTGTGAACAATAAGAGGACAGAAGCAGAGGGGCTGCTTACACTAGCTTGCCATTCCTATCTTATGATTAATGTGATCACATTATGTTGCCCTTACCTTTGAATAAATGATTATCATCCTTTAAATTAGGAATGGAAGAAACATGGAGATTATTGCTATAGGATTGACAAGAATGAAGTCTTCTTTGGAAGTGTGTGCAATCTTACTATAGCAAACAGGTATTATGCAGTGTTATTCTTTGAATGTAAAATTGTTTAAATTTTAAAATATTGTACTATATCTTGTAGAAATGTTCTCTTTAATCCTAGCTAAATACAATTATTCTTTGTATTGAATCTCTGACCTTTACAGATTTGAACAAGAATTTATAAATAATTTAATCAGAATGCATAATAAAGTTGAAGAAAAGTATTTCTGGACTGGCTTGCAAGATATCAACTCAACAGGAGAGTATAGATGGGGAAGTGTGCATGGAAATAATGACCTACTAACATACACAAATTGGGGTTCCCTTCAACCAGGTAAAATATTGAACAGTGAAGTGCTAATACTTGTTTCATAATACAGCCTTGGGCAACTAATTTCTTAAAATATCACATAAGTAATTGAAACATCAAATTTTTAGAATTCCCTGGAGGATGTGTGGCAATGTCAAGTGGAAGCTATCTTGGAATGTGGAAAGTCAAGAATTGCCAAAATTTTAAAGCTTACTCTATTTGCAAGAAATACATTGGACCAAAGAAAGAAGCAAAGATTCTGCCGAAAATCACTGACCCTTGCCCACAAGGGTGGGCCAATGGATCAGGTCTTGCTTGTTATAAGGTATTATATCAAGTCTATTAAATTATTATATCCTTTCCGTTGAATTACATTCTCTCGGTTCTTAAGAAAACATATTTTTGTACTCTCCTCGACTATCATAAGTTCCATTATATATTAAACAAAATTATATATATTTCCTTCCTTCTTTTCTTCTCTTGCACTCTCTCTGTCTCAGATGGAATACTGTTCACTGGTTGGGCAGATATGCTGGACATGGGATCAATTTTGTGATCCCCTAAACTATCTAAACTTTAATATTAACTACCCAAGTTAAAATGTTTTTCTAAAAAAAAGACTATTATTTGTTACATATTTTCCCAAAGCAAGATTTTAAAAGTATTTAAAAAATTTTAAAGTCACGAAAATAAGCTTTTTTAAAAGAAGGCTTCCCCGAATGCAACTTTTGGACATATGTTTTGGTTTTTTTAGAAATATTTCTGCAAGCGAATCAATTTGTGTTTATGGATCTTTGACCGAAGGAAAATAGGTGCTGGTGGGCTTCATTCATTGCTAACCTTTCTACTGCAACAAAATCTATTACATCAAATGTTGTGAATTTGCCCTAATACAGATCCATGTTGAATTCCTTGGGCAACTTTAATCTTGAATTATTTTGAGATGCTCTGAGTGGTTCTGTTGGCATAACTTGAAGGAAATCTATGGAGTTCCCATTTTTTCTGAAGCTGCCTTTCCCATACCTTATTTTGGATTCTTCAGAGATCAGAGAGCTGCATGGAAAAAAGAAGTAAATGAAAAACCATTTCCTTCAGTTAGAACATCAAATGAATGGAATAGCAGTCTTGGGTGTTGATAACCAACCAAAGAAATGAAATTTTGATAAATTTGAAATGAAGCAAAACAGAAATGTAATAACTAGATTTGAAAGTTCATTAATCTGTAAAAGTAATAGGCATATACGTTTAGAAAAAATAGTAATATTGTACAGAGATAAAATTGATTTTTTTTCTATTTTCTTACAAAGTTTTTTCATAAGGAAAGAGTGCTGAGAACCAGAACTTGGGAAGAAGCTGAGAGATTTTGTGAAGCTCTTGGAGGACATCTTCCTAGTTTCAGCAACTCAGAAGAAATTAAGGAACTCCATACAATACTGAGAGAGATCATCAGGTAACATCCTCAAGAGTCTAGCATTTTAGTGAATTCAACTGATGTCTAAATATATCTTCATGTATTTTACCACAGCAGATGTGATAAAGTACCATTATAGCTTTTAAAATACTTGAACAGTCAAGCAATCTTAACCAGTCTCTTAGGGGCATCTTGAGACTGAGGTAAGGGAGGCTTATGGTTTCTGTGCAATTCCTCTCAGGGTAAAGGAGAAGATCCTCTGCTTCATTTCCCCCTAAAAACAGTGTGGTTTCATATCCTTCTATTATAAACTAGAGCAGTGAGTGCCGAAAAGGGAGCATGCACACAAGCAAGTGCCGAAAAGGGAACACTTCGCGCACATGTGCTTGTCTGGGCTGTGACCAGGAAGAGGAGCTGCCCGGGGGGCATGCACGTTCCGGAAAATGAACTTACAGTTTCCAGCGTACATATGCGTGCCGGCCAGCAAGTGCTCTACTTACTGTCAAGCATGCACACATGCCAATCAGCTGGCGGCGCGCATGCCTACGGCGAAAATGGAATACCAGCTCTTCTGGTTTGTGGCACAGCTGCACATGCAAAGGCCAACTGATCATCACGTGTGCATGCATGCCAGAAACCCGGAACAGGAAAGGGCAATGCCACGCATGCCAGACCACATGGCTGCACGTGCCACTTTGGCCATGCATGCTATAGGTTCGCCATCACAGAACTAGAGAAAACTGTTTCAAGGATCAATTAAAGGAACACTCAAGAGTTGAATCTTTCCAACATTTATATAGCATCTCTTTTATATGCTGATTACCATTAGGAGTATGTGTGTCACCATCACCATCATGAAATCTTTCATGTAGTCAAAGATCAGCATAAGGAGACTGTGTGTATTTGAGATTATTTCCAGAAGAAATAAAGAGTGTTAAAGACAATGAAGATCAGGCAGACACTGATATACTTTGGGGCATAGAGGAAAACAATGTTGATGAATAAAACTAGATGTAAAGAGTTGGAATTATGTAAGCGCTCCAAATACCATGTAAAATTAAATCAGAGTCAAAGCCAAAACTATGCTTAAAGTTCCAATTTAATAAAGCAGGCATGTTGGCATAGTGCTATGGGATTCCGACTCTGGAAGTTACATCAGAATCCCACCCAGTTAAAAGTTCATGATCTTACCCCCAAACACCCACAGTCCATCACATGGTCCAATCTTCTTCTTCCACGCTGGCGTCTACGCCTAACTGCTTCTGATCAGGTGTAAAGGTTTGGGAGACAAAAGATGACCTTGAGCTTCTAGGAAGGAATTTCTTATTTTGAAAACAACACATTCTACCCTTTGCTAAATCCCCTCCTTAATAAGAGTGTGGCAGGCCAAAGATTCTTAAAGGAACCGCTGCAGGCCTGACACTAGAGATATTTCTGGAATGTCCCTGAAAGAGTTGCAGGTTGTTTCCACAAGGCCGGACAAACTAGAGGACATTTGTCTCTATTGAGCCCAACTCAAGGGCAGTTGATCTGCTAAACAAAAAATTTGTGACTGCCAAAGGAGCTGCTGAGTTACTGTATTTTCTATTTACTGTATATACTTCGGGTAAGCCAAAAATTGTAGGTGTCAAAATACATGCCAAAAATCAGGCTGGGCTTTTCTGTATATACATAATACTTTTTAAAAAGTATTCCTAATTCCCATATATTCTCCTGGATAAGTCCATCTATAAATAAATAGACCCACAAAATGTTTTTAAAAATATGAAAATAATGCAATAGCAGTAGACTTATATACCGCTTCATAGGGCTTTCAGCCCTCTCTAAGCGGTTTACAGAGAGTCAGCATATTGCCCCCAACAATCCGGGTCCTCATTTTACCCACCTCGGAAGGATGGAAGGCTGAGTCAACCCTGAGCCGGTGAGATTTGAACCGCTGAACTGCTGATCTAGCAGTAGCCTGCAGTGCTGCATTTAACCACTGTGCCACCTCGGCTCATGCAGGTTGTCTATCAGCAGTTAGCACATTTTTCATGGTATTTTACTTCAAAATTCCATGGTTGGTTTATTACAGATGGATTTATTTGCAAGTATATATAGTATTTATTTATTTACTGACATTTATATCCCCCTAAGTGCTTTGCCTTCCACTATATAATTACCACTCTGCTTCTATTTTTTTCTTGGTGACCTCTGGATCCAGATTCCAGACTAGTAGCCAAGCCCATTTCTTCTTTCTTTATTTTCTAACTTAGAATCAATTATGTGTTACAGCAGTGGTGAAATTCAATTTTTTTTTACTACTGGTTCTATGGGTGTGGCTTGGTGGGTGTGGCAGGGGAAGGATACTGCAAAATCTCCATTCCCACCCCATTCTGGGGCCAGCCAAAGGTGGTATTTGCCAGTTCTCCAAACTACTCAAAATTTACACTATCTGTTCTCCAGAACCTGTCAGAACCTGCTGAATTTCACTCCTGTGTTACAGGCTTTATAAGTGCAGATTCTCAGGGGAATATTTATAAAGAAAAGTATATGCAACGCTGAACAGCAGATTGGCAAAATAATCATCTACATGCTTTCAGATTTGAGCATCTCACAGAGCAGTTGTCTAAAATGATGAAAATGATCTCCAAATGCTCTAAAGTAATAAAAAAATGAAGTTGAACATTGCTTTACTTTTTTATTTACAGCGATGACAGATGGGTCTGGATTGGGCTAAATAAGAGGAATCCTGACTTTCTGGGTTCATGGCAATGGAGTGATGATAAGCCGGTAAGTTAAGCTGGCCATACTTAGAATACTAAATGATCCAATTGTAGCTGGAAGAATATTGGTGAAATTTTGAAATTGAAAAGCTTTTAAAGAACATTTTGCACAGGAAAAATAAAAAAGGCTTAAAATAATAACTTTAAATAATGTACAGTAGCTTAAATTGGTTATGAAAATCTTTAGAAAACCAAAGCCTATGCCATTAGACTATTATTCTATATGAAAATTACTGTAGGATTTGCTTTATTTAAACACAATTACACACCTGGAAGTCCTCATTTAGGGACATTCCTGTGGTCATTTTGTGGAGTGGGGGAAAGGAAGAGAGAAAAGAGAAATATCTATATAGAATTCAGGCTTTCATAGAATGAATATAAAGTTCTGGATTATGATCAGTAACCAACTCATAATATGACCTTTAAGGAATTAGCAAAGGCTTTGTAATGAAATTTCAGAAAATAATCTGGTTCAGTTTACTAAAAACATACAGTATATCTATTAATGAGGGACGTGGTGGCTTAGTGGCTAAGGCACTAGCTTGTTGATCAGAAAGGGTGGCGGCTTGAATACCTAGTGACGCATAACGGAGTGAGTGCCTGTTACTTGTCCCAGCTTCTGCCAACCTAGCAGTTCGAAAGCATGCAAAAATGCAAGTAGAAAAAATAGGAATCACCTTTGGTGGGGAGGTAACAGTGTTTCATGTGTCTTTGCCATTTAGTCATGCCAATCACATGACCACGGTGATGTCTTTGGCCAGCGCTGGCTCTTTGGCTTTGAAACGGAGATGAGCACCGCCCCCTAGAGTCAGGAACGACTAGCACATATGTGCAAGGGGAACCTTTACCTTTACTATTAATGAGTATTGAAAGTACTCATTTTATTTTGCTCAAACTTCATGTTCCTACAGTACTGCGATATTGCGGCTATTGTTACTAAAGCATACTAATTAAAATGAATAACATACAGCTTTAAAACCATTCTTCCTCCCTAGGTCTCGACTGTTTTTATGCCCCTGGAATTTAGAGAAGATGACTATGATCTTCGAGATTGTGCAGCTATCAAGGTGTATTGTGACATTTTTTATTACTAACTCCTAAGGAGAAGGAAATACTGGAAGAACCTGTGCTATTTTTTGTAAAATAACTCTGTTGACCTAATGCTTGCCAATAAGTCTTGCAATTTAGCCAGTTAAACTGCCCTTAGGGATTTTTTTAGCCTGTGCTCTGTTTACTTTTCCTATGGAATTACTTCATCACATTTAGCAGGAAACCAGGTCTTAGTGTACAATCCTTTAAAAAAAAGTGTGCTTGTGAGGGAATACTGTACTGCTTCCACAGCCTGCCTGTTTGAACAACCTCAGAGAGATATGTAGGAGGCAAGTTTGCATTACTCTGGTGATTTTAGCCTTCTTGTTTTCTCAGACACGGTCACCTTGATTTTGAATGATGGAAATTTATATATCAGTTCCAGATGGAGCTAGAAACAGTCCTGGAATTTTTAAACAGAATGAATCCAAGGTTGCTTTTGTGGCTTTACTGTCTCATCCCCAGAATACCCTAATCTTATTTCTGGCAGGAACATAGACACAACTAAAATCTCCTGAATGCTTGCAACCTTCTTGCAAATGCTCTGGCATGTCCATCTTATTCATCTCTCTGTCTATCTACCGGTAATTGGTTAGGGTTGCTGTCCCAACTTCAGAATAAAACAGCCTTTTTCAACTCTGTTACGTTTGTAAATATTACATTGGAATGCAATCATGTCCGTAATATAATTTGTTTTGGAAAGTATAGTAGCAGGTTGTTTTGATTAGTTGGGGGGGAAAAACCTATTTTAAAGTAGGTATGTGTAGTTTGACAAATATTTCAAATGTATTTCCTTATAAACATATCAAGTACAGCACGGCAATTTCATACTTCAGTTCTGAGTAAGTATTGCATGGGAAGTAGTTTAATTCTGTAAAAAGTAAGTCCCAGTGGCTTTAATAGGACTATTCTTAACTAAGGAAAAGAGCATTTAGCCCTTATATAGAAGTATACTTCTGTTAACAACAGTATTTGCTGTGGTGGTGGCGGTGCAGTGGTTAGAATGCAGTATTGCAGGATAACTCTGCCCACTACCAGGTCAAGGTTGACTCAGCCTTCCATTCTTCCGAGGTCAGTAAAATAAGGACCCAGATTGTTGGGGACAATAGGATGATTCTGTAAACTGCTATAAAGCAATGTGAAGCGGCATATGAGTTTAATTGGTATTGTTATTTTTTTAGCCTGTGGCTAGAATCCCTTGTATATTTAAAAGCAAATTCCACTGAACACAGAGATTTATTTCTAATAATTAAACAAACTAATAAGAAGGGAGAAAATCTTTTTGACAGAATTTAGTTACGGACACTTACTTACTTGAGAGTTACTACAAAAATATAATGCATATTATCACTGCTTTTCTTTTGTAATTATACAGACCCTTGGACGAAAACGCCGGCCAGTGTGGCACATTTACCTATATCAATATAGAGAAGAGGATTTCTACTTAAAACCTTTCCATTGTGATGTAAAACTTGAATGGGTATGCCAGATCCCTAAAGGTAAATTTGGATTTCAACCATATATTGTTTAATTGTGTTGTTGTTGTTTAGAAAGGAGATCTATTGTATTCAGCATGGCTCATTCTATATAAAAGTCTGCAGGATAAAAACATTAAAATTTAGGATTGTCTTTTCCTTCATTTTATTCAATATGCCAGCATTATGATTGGCCAATTTCCTGTAACTCTAAAAAAATCTGAGTTCTGAAAATATTATCAGCCCCTCCCCACCAACTGTTGAGTTAGTTTCCATCTGACTAAGGGTTGAATCAAATGTTGAAGTCCATATTTGCCATACATTATTTCAAGAATATGTGGGTGTTACATAAAAGTGTTTTCTTTCTTTTTCTGTCCTACTGTTAACCAGTATCCATATCCCCCAGCTAGGATTTGGTAATGTATCCCCCAGACGTCATGATTTTCCATGAGTAAACTTATTTCCTAGGCCAAGCTTGGCATAAGTCAGTTTGGCAGATCCGATTTGGTTGAATAAGAAACTTTAGTGCCAGCAACAACAAAACCAAACAAACATTGATGGAAAAGTACAGATGCCTCTCGTTCTTGTAGTAGTTCATATCCATAGCTTTTTCTTCCTACAAATCAACAGACTCACAAGATGCCTTTGAGCAGGGCAATTATTGAATATGTGCTTAATTGCCAACTCTTGATCTGAGAACCATGGGCCCACCGTATGTTTTGACCTAGACTTCCCAAGAGCATGAAGCAAGTTCCTGGTCCTGACTAAAACCCCTTTTATTAATTTACTGTGAATTCTGCTCATTCACATATAGCAAAGTCTTTCAAGGGAGGATTTACAGTCATAGACCTTATCTGGCATAAGGTCTATGACTGTAAAGAGCTGCCAGGCCAATATCTGCAAAACTTGGCAAGGAGTCTCGGAGAGTCACAAGCCAATTAAGCCAATTAAGTGAATTAATTGTCTCCTGCAACTCCATTCTCCTTTCGTTCCTCTTTTATTTTCTCTGGGAGGGGTCATACACCTGTTGCCTTACTCCCAAGTTGACCCCTGTTCTTTAGCTGTTCCCTTCATCTGGCAACTCTGCACATGCACACACTGGGAACAGGCTCCCGCTGTTCGTCTGCCTCACTGATGTCTGACTCTGAAGGCAGCTGATAACTGGCATACTGCTATGGCCCCCTCTCTGCCTCTGGCACAGAGCCCTCATCAGAGCCTTTCCCCAGACTCCAGGACTGGCCCATGTTCCTCCCCAACCTCCTCACTGTCCGAATCTGCTGGCAGCTCCGCTGGCCGATGTCGGGCCACAACATCGAATACTTTCCAGATGTTAAAACTGCTTTTTGACTTTCCATCCAATTTAACTAAAGGGCCAACAATGCTGTTAAATGAAACAAAAGCATAGCAAAATATGAATCTCTCTCAAGTTTGGTATTCAAAGATTATGTTTTCGTTTCGTGTGCACCCCAGGTTGGAGTTCTGCAGAATCCTAGCATTCTGAAAGAGGTCACTAAGAGTTCCCTGGGGGATCATGATTTGTTTTTTTTTTAAAGGAGAGACTGAACAAAACCCATACAACCCCTGATTGGCCCCCTCAGGCAGGAATTAAACACACACACACACACACACACACACACACACACACACACGGAAGCTGGTAGGTGAGCAAAGCCCAGCTGGAGAGTAAGCAATTAGGGAGAAGCAGCAGTTGGTGAATGAGCCTACAAGTGAGGACTCCTTGTAGGAGGTCTACTTGCCAGCTCACCAGCCTGCCTTTCTCCAGGTGTAGCAGCCTGGGGAGGTGGGGGAGCTATCTCCAGGCGGATGCAAGAGATCTGCGTGTCAAGATTCCAAGTAACACCCCCAACGAAAGAAGACTCCGAGGCTTGAGTTTCCTCAAAGTTCCATTTTATTAGAGATGTCATATTGGCACATCTGGGAAAACCAAAATCTGAAAGTTTCCAGGTTTTCCTCACCCAAATGAAAGTCCACCTCCCTGCCCACCATCCACATGTCCATCACAGGGTCAAATCAGGCACCATCCAAAACTGGAGATTCCTCCCAGTCACACTATCGCAGCTGCAGGGCAAGGTGGCCTTGACTCTCTCAGAAGGGAATGTTATTTTGACTATATATCACCCACACTCCATATAATCCCCCCCCCCTTTTCATTTTCCCACAGCAGAAAATGTGGCAGGCCTGAAGGCCCAATGTTAAAAGATGGCTGCCAGGTCTGACACTGGGCCTGGTCTGGTCCAGGTATTAGCAGCAGCCACCCACAAAGACAGGGTGAGGGGAAGGAAGCATGGGAAAGAGGGGAAAAAAGTCTTTATTTTTAGTTTATGAACACTGTTACAAACACAGTACCTACATATGAAAAGAATATAATAATTTTGTAAGTCTGGTCTATATTTGAGGCTGCATGTACAGGGGTTCCCCGAGGGTTAAAAAATATCTCAAAGGTTCAAGACTCAAAACATTGGGGGGGGGCAGTACAGCCTAACTCAGGTGCTTAAATGCTGGGAGACAGTGTTTTCAAATCATAAATTCTTTTTACGTTTTGGAACAAGATTTTACCAGAGAAATATAGCAATTGATAGAGCAATAGGGTAATTTCTTTGCTTTCTCTCTGGCTGTTATTGGATATAAAATTAATTCCATTGTATGAAGTACTTGTTCTCTGAATAATCGTATCTATTTCATTCCCTTTGCTGCTATTTGCACTACCCTCTTGGAGTATGATAATAATCACATCTTTATACAACTCTTTCCAAGAACTCTTTATGGACTTTTGATCAGTTAAATATTAGGGTTTTTTTTTAAACCACTTGAGTTTGAAAGTGTAATATTAATAGCAAAGAAAACTGCCTTAGAACATGGATTCATGCTTCAGTTAGATTCAGTTTTTAAAAGTGACTCAAGAGACTTTATATGTATGGAAAGTGTTAAATTATTGTTGAATTCAAGTTTGGACATTGCTTTTTACTAGAAGGTTATACATTTCCAATTGCCAATAAAAAGGGTGACACTTAGCCTTTTTTCTAACCAAGGATATATTAGTACATCCAGTGATAGGCTTTTCCTTTATCAACAGGTAGTACTCCAAAGACACCTGAATGGTACAAACCAGGTAAGATTATTTCTTACTTTTCATACACTTCATTTTGCAGTTCAGGAACCTTTCTTTCCACAGCCTCATGGCAGTTTTAAAACAGATGGGATTGTTAGCTTAATCCCAGTTCAAGTATTTCAGATAGCCGGAATTTGTGCATTGCATAAATAATATATTTTATAAAACTCTAAACATACAGTAGCATTCCGGTGTGTGTGTGTGTGTGTGTGTGTGTGTGTGTGTGTGTGTTTGAACTTGAAATAAGATTTATATAATTGAAATTATATAAATTATATCCAGGAATAACTATGAAAGATCCTTCCAACTCTTATTCTGTGCTATCAAAATGTTGACACATCATGATGTCATTGCATAAATGGTGCGCTCATGTCATGATGCCTGATGCAAATAAATCATATTATTTATACGTGGACGGCATGAGACATACAGTATGTCACTTTCTCTTATTCCACACAAATGCCCATAATCACTAGAATGATGTCTTTGTTCATTTATTCATTCAATTTTGGGTTGATTATAAATAATTAAGTCATAAGGAAATGAAATGCAGAAGTTACAGACTGATAATACCTTCCCAAACATGACCATTCATGAAATAGTTTTTAGGTGTAACCCAGTCTTTCTTGCATTAGAGAGTTCTTCAAAATATGTAATTACTAAAAAAACTAGTCTGTTTTAACTCTCAAGGAACGTTAATAAACTTGTTAACTTCAGGAAAATGATTGTGTGATGAAATGAGTTGTAATGTCTTTACTTGAAATCAGACTTGGAGGAATTGAAGTCAAATTCAGTCATTTTACTCTTAAATCAGGGGTCTCCAACCTATGGTCCATGGCACTACCGGACCACAGGCTAATCACCATTGGGCCACATGAGGGGCCGACCGTGTCACATGCCTCTGTGGGAGCCACATTGTAGGCACACAACTGTGTTCTAAATCAAAAACGCCCAGCATTTTTTATTTTGATACACACAGCTTCCCTGTTACATGATAGTTCAGATTGCATGGAATTGCTGGTTCGTGTTAGGTTGTACTGAATGTAAACTTCATATGTGATTTTCTTTCTTTGTAGATGAAGAAGGAATTCATGGGGCAACAGTGAATATTGATGGGTCAGAATTCTGGTTTGTGGCAAATAAGCATCTGAGCTATCAAGAAGCTTCCTTGTATTGTTCTGAGAATGGAAGTGACTTGGCTTATGTGACCTCCTTCACTGCGCTGAATGGAATTCTAAACACAATTTTAAAAGTAATGCATTAATTTCTATTTTGGGTGATTTCTGTTGAATGAAATGATTGCCAACATCCCTTTTCTTTGTGGATTTTGATGGAGGATATTATTAAATCATTAGGAAATGAAATGCAGAAGTTGCAGGCAGTGAGGTACATTAAACCTATCAGAGACTAATTCACTTTAGTTTTCCCATGAAAATGAGCAGGAAATCATGCTGCTATTTGTTGTTCAGTAATTTGTTGCTCAAATTCTTCTGAGATCTGGATGACTTTGGAGATCATGTGAAATCTTGGGTTGCTCATACTTCATCTTATGGCATTCCATGTGCACCTCTACTGCTATATCCATGAATAGATACAAAAATAAATAGTTAATTTTGGATTGACTTGTTAAGATATTTTAATGGGGAATTTGGCTTAGTTCACTTGAAAGAAGTCCGAGAATGAAACCAGTGAGCATAATTGAAGCAAACTATGGCTACTTCTTTCTCTGGAGTTTTTTTTTTCTGAATACAGGTCATCCTCGGCTTACAATAATTCTTTAAGTGACCGTTCAAAGCTACAACAGCACTGAAAAAAGTGACTTATAATTGTTTTCTACTATTGCTGCATCCATGTGGTCACATAATCAAAATTCAGATGCTTGGCAACTGCCTCATATTTATGATGGCTGCAGTGTCCCTGCAAATTTTTTGGAACTTTCTGACAAGCAAAGTCCATTGGGGATCCAGAATCACTTAACGACCGTATAACTAACTAAACAACTGCAGTGATTCACTTAACAACTGAGGCAAGAAAGATTGTAAAAATGGGACAAAAATTCACTTAACAACTGTCTCACTTAGCCACAGAAATTTTGTATTCAATTGTGGTCATAAGTCGAGGACTACCTGTACTTAAGAGAATGTCCTTCATTCACACTGAGCCAGTGGTTAACTGAGAGATCCAGGTTCTAGTTAGCCACAAAGGGCTGACTTTGGGCTAGTACATTCTCTCAGCCCAATCTATCTCACAGATGGTTATTATGGCTGGCAAAATAGGACTTGCACTGCAAATGACTTAAATCATCCAAGTAAGATTACAGAACTTGAGAAATTATAGATGGTTTCTTAGATGGTCAAATTATAGGTGAAGTCAGCATGAATCACATTTACCACAAAGCCAGTCTTAATAAGATACCTGGATAAATGGCTTCTACTATACTGCCGTAAAATGGCTTCTACTGTACAGCACAGTGGAGTTGCCATTGTAATGGCTTCACAGTACTCCACAAGGGGGCTGCCTCTGGTAAGGGGGAAACTCCAACATTGCAAATTACATTTGGTCCGGACATTTTCCCCCTTTAAATAAATACCCAGGCAACACCGGTTATCAACTAGTTTCTTATATATTGTAATACATTGTATTACAGCACTAGCAGTATTAAAAATGTTGATTGCAAATACCATGCTTAGCATTTCTTTATTATTATGGTTGTAGAAATGCTTTTACAGTGGTCATTAGAGTTTCCTAAAAAGGAATTGAGCAGAACATCTTCTAACAAATCAATTGTCATGAGGGTTTTTGAGCTTTTCTCAAAGATTGCTACACTCTCATGCAACAGAGAAACATTTTTCAGTATTGCATGGAAGAGATTAACATTGGATATTGCATTTCATGCTAACACAATCTGCTTTTGGCAGTTATCGGACGAGAATCAGAACTGGTGGTTCAAATACAAAATTCCAAAAACTTACTACCGTTTGCCGTAAGTAGAAACATCCATCTGTGTTGTTCTAAAGATTATTTATGTTATGACAACTATTAGCAAAGTACAATGCTGAATCTACCACTTATGACCGAAGGTCAGATACCAAAATGGTAAACCTTGGGAAGCCAGGGAATTTTAACACTACATTTTGTCCTTAAAACATATTTTTACAGTGGCTTAAGTGTAAATTTAATAATAGAATGGATTGATTTAAAGGTTTGCTACCTCTGTTCCATACACAGTTGCATATGAGCTAGCGGGGGGGCAATATTTTGCAAGATTTTGTGTAAATAATTGTACTAGTACCCATGTTTTACACTTTTTAAAAAAATTGGGCATTTGAAGGCTTGCCTTTGAATTTTTATTTTTAATTTTTTGGCTACATTAATAAAAACCCTTCAATATATGTGGGAGCATATCTCTGCACCAGGTTCAATTTTTATTTTAAAATGCAAATGAAAAAAAAATTAAAGCAAGTTTTGTGTATATAGTTATATGGGGCAGTTCATCATATTAGTCTTTGTATCTATAACTAAATGAGTATAATTATATTTGTAACTGCGCCCATTCTCCCAGGTTCTTAAAAATAAAAAGTAAAATATTGTTGGAGTTCAACTCAACCTCTGTGACCTCAAGAACAGTTTTCGTGGCAATTAGAAGGAAGCTATAGAAATTGTATAAATAAAATAAGTAATTGTCTTTTTCCAAGAACTAGCCTACAGTGCTGGTACTCCCGAAGTCTCCCATTCAAATACTAACCAAGCCCAACTATGTAGGCTTTCCAAGTCCAGAAGTAATACTATATCTTGCAAAAATAAACCTTCCAAAATAGATTGAATTAAGAGTGTCTTGTCTAGAGGAATGTTATTTCATGAAAATGGAAGGTGTACGGTTTTTTTATCTGGATTAAAATTGGAGCATCGGTTAATCCGTCCCATCATTCTCAGCCTGGATTGGGCCTTTTTGCTAGTAGCATTCACCTGGGTGAGTTTGAGAGGAAAGATGGTAGAAACATAGGTAATCCTCAATTTACGTTCACAATTGGGACCAGAAGTTTGGTTGCTAAGCAACATTGTTGAGCAAGTCGTCATAGGTCTATTTTATGATCATTTTTACCATGGTATGTATTGAAGTGCCATGGTTGTTAAGCATATTATGTGGTTGTTAAGGGAATCACAGCCATTAAGCAAATTGGTTGACTGATTGTCAGAAGTCAGTTGGGAAGATTGCAAATAATGAATATAGCAAGAATCCGCAACTGCTGTAAACTTGAACTGGTTGCCAAACACCCGAATTGTGATCATGTTCCTGTGATGCGAAAGTTGTAATTTCAAGGACGGGTCATAAGTCATTTTTAACTTTGAACCATCATTAAAGAAACACTTGTAAATGGAGACTACTTGTAGGATCATAATCCTCTTTTTCAAATTTTGTACATATGGACAGAAAGAGCAGTTCTCTGCATAGGAGGTGCCAAGAAAAATTACCTATGTTGCTGCTTCTTCTTAATTTTATCATATTAGCTTATCATATTACCTTACCGTAAATACTGCAATTATGTACTTGCATTTCATATTATTTAAATATATTTGCTTTTATAAATATATCTATCAAAAACTATATTCGATGTAAGTTGTAACATTTGCATAAAAATGTGATTGATCATGTTTCCTTTAAAAAAATAAAAAAATAATATTCTCTTTGTTTTTTCTTAAGCTTTTTTTCACACTATTTTGACCACTACCCCAGAAAATGTTGGCATATCTCTTATCGATCCTGGTTAAGAGGTAATAATTCTATTTCTTTTTTAATCAGCTATAGTTTTAGAAATGTTCTCAGACTCTCTCCTAAATAAGAAGAGTATATTAGTTTTCCTTTAGGCTTCTTTTTGTGGGATTCTTGTTTCCTATTTTGTGGTTTTTAATCTTAAATTCTGCCAACTCGAGGCAGCAAAGTTAGAAAATGTCCGTGGTTGCTCTTCACCCTCATGGATCTTTTTGCTTCTATTCTTGTCTTGATTGAAATTGACAGGAGGTAAACAGTTTAAAGTTTGCATTCTCAAAATAACTGTTCTAAGACTGTAAGTTTGTTTCCGTCTGTAACATGGATGTCACACTCACTGCATCACGTTGCCATCACGTGACATATTGCAGCATTTTTCCCCCTTCGCAGAGCTGCGGTGAGCATGGCCTGCACATGAGGCATGTGGCCTGCGGGATGCAAGTTTCACATCCCTGGTCTATAGGAATTCTGTCAGCTTCCATTGTTCATCTCCTCTCCATGACACCCTGTTTCCATCCTGTTGGATCTGCAGATTTGCATTGTTCTGATATTTAGTATCCTTCTCTTATACATTTTATTGCTGATCTTGAAGTTTCAGAACTAAATAAAACAATTGAACTTACTAGTCCAACATTAATATCAACTCTTCAAACTTTCAGTCCAACTCTATTATCTAAAGTACTTTTAACTAAAAATCCTCTGGTTGAATCTGGGACAATCTATAGACTTTGCTTTTGAACCAAGAAGGCATTTTTATCATTCATTCATTCATTCATTAATATGAGGGGTTCTTGGTGCTCTCTGAGGTTGGTTGTTTTCTTGCAGATGTTTCATTATCCAAACTACCCTGTTTCCCCTAAAATAAGACCTCCCTGGATAATAAGCCCAATTGGGCTTTTGAGCGCATGCGCTAAAGTAAGCCCTTCCTAAAAATAAGTCCACCCCGAAAATATTGCAACACAGCAGCAGCCATGAGGTGACCACGCTGCCTCCTGCACCTCAAAAATAATAAGACCTCCCCGAAAATAAGAGCAAGCGTGTATTTCGGGGGTCAAAAGAAAATAAGACTCTTATTTTGGGGGAAACATGGTAGGTAAATCACCAGTGCTAAACTAATGTTGTTGCCTAGTTTGGATAATGAAACATCAGAAAGAAAACAACCAATCTCAGAGAGCACCAATCCTGAGCTACAAATATTCTCCTTTATTGATTAATTAAAATATTCTTTCAGACTACACTTATACTAACTGCTATACTTGGTTTAAAAGTATAAAACTAAATTTGAAACCAAAGGTATTAAAAACAATCTTCAATTAAAACTATTGTATTGCTTACATTAAACTTAGTGAGAGGTCTGCATAAGAGGGTATAAGCATAACTATTCTCTATTCTCTATTCTGCAGGCAATTCATTAGATTGCACTGCAAAACTGCCTTTCATTTGTGAGAAATACAATGCATCATTATTGGAGACAAGAGAACCAGGCTATAAATCACCTCACCTTAGCTGCCCTAAAAGATGGATTTTTTTCCTAAATAAGGTAATGCATAAATAATTTGGGATTCTGAATATTATATTTCAGTCCACAGAAGCTGACTTGAAATGGTTGTCAAACTAGTTTGATGAACATTTAAAGATCTGAAATAACTTGCAACTAACAAACTTGAAGGATCTAATCTGGGTCGGTCTCTGTGACCAGAGATTTAGTCTTTTGAGATTTCAGATGTGCTGGAACCAATCCTCAGGGACAGTGGTGGGATGTTGCCAATTTAACAACCGGTTCAATGAGCGTGCGCAATGCAAGCTTAAAGCACTTGCACAGCGCACTGAAAATAGAGCATTTAGAAGCTCAGCTGCTTACCTTCCAAGTCAGCAACAGTAAGTAGAACAACGAGGGGCGGGGGAAATCAGCTGTACTGTGCAATTGAGATGAGCTAGAAAACAGGAAATAAAGGACAAGATAGGGTGGGTGCAGGTGGGCAGGAACAGCTGATTGTTGGAACTACTGGTTCACCTGAACCAGCCCGAACTGGCTGAATACCACTTCTGCTAAGGGACCTTCTCTCTACCAGAATATTGGTTTTCTCTCTATACATTCTGGTAGAGAGAACGCTACACATTCCGGTACAGAGAAGTTCCTTGAAGATGGGCTCCAGCACAAGTCCTAAAGCTCGGAAGACTAAATCTCTAATCCTGGTGACCGATCCAGATTGGATCCTGCAACATTATCCTGAAACATGTATATTTACCTTCATTTGTAACAAACCTGGGCTACTATATGAACATAGTTTAAACAAAGTTTAATTCAAAACATTTGTGAAATATCTACCTCAGAGGTTATATTTTTTTTTAAAAAAAATCTTTTACAGTGTTATCAAAAGGTGACTCCTAAGAATATGACATTTAATAAAGCAGATGAACATTGTCAATCTTTAGGAGGAAACCTTCCTTCAATCAAAAGCCAGATTGAACAAGGTAAGAAAATACATGAGCCGTGGTAGCGCAGTGGTTAGAATGCAGTGGTGTAGGCTAACTCTGCCCACAGCTAGGAGTTCTAGCATCACCAGTTCAAGGTTGACTCAGCCTTCCATCCTTCCGAGATCGGTAAAATTAGGCCTCAGATTTTGGGGCCAATATGCTGACATTGTAAACCTCTCAGAGTGCTGTAAAGCAGTGTATAAATCTAAGTGCTATTGCTATTCCGTACATAGATGTGTATCACACAATTCTTTCATATATATGTACATGTACTGTATTTTTCAGAGTATAAGATGCACCTTCCCCCCCCCCCCAAAAAGAGGGCAAAAATCTGCGTGTGTCTTATAAACTGAATACAGCATTTTTGGCCTCCCAAAACCCGACCCCCTTCACAAAAATGGAGATATAGAGGGTTTGAGAGGGTTGCAAAGTTCTCAGGGCGTGGGAAGGGCAAAAACGAGTAAAAAAAAGGCCGTTTTTTGCTCATTTTTTTGGTGCCCAGCTCCCAGAAGCACTCTACAAGCCTCCTAAACGCTATGCATGCCCTTATTTTGCCTTCCCAGCCCCCAGGAGCACTTTTCAGGCCTCTCAAACTCTGCATGCCCCATTTTTCACAAAATATTAGGCATGCAGAGGGTTTGGGAGGTCTGCAAAAACTTTTTTTTTTAATGTACCTCTTCAAAATCTTGGAGCGTCTTATACCCTGAAAAATATGGTTAATTTGATTCCTTAAAATTGAATAACATTGCTCCTGAGAAAGGCTTTATGTATGAGATAATAATTTGTGGACATGCCCTGTGGGGAAGACAAAGGATAAAACCAGCATCTGCACATGTGTTTTAACATCACGTGTACAAACATAAGGGACAGAGCATTCTGGTTGTTATGCTGAAACCCCTCTTCTTGCATATCTCCTTATGTACCCTTCCTCTTGGTGTAGTAGAAAAGACCTTTTCTAGATAAAAATTAGGGATGGTGAGTATTACCATTAATTATGTAAGAATGCACTGTAATCTTACAGTTGGCATCATTTCTATTCTTTCAAAATCATATGAAGTTTTCATTTTTAAACTTAAAACAGAATTATTATAAACTGGATATGGATATAAGCATTGTATTTCTTAGTGTTACTTATTTATGAATTAATCATGATTAATTCATATTATTATGATAATATTGTGAATTATGAATTAATTATAATATTTGTACAGCAGACTCCAAGTGGTTTAGAATAAATAAAACAAGAGCAATATAAATTCCTATAAAGCAGAGTATTTCCTCATTTTCATAGCTAATAAGAACAGCAGTGATAAATAACATTCCCCTCCCGAACTCACTAGAAGGGCACTAATTTCTGAATGTCCGACCAAAGGAAGCAATCGTTTGCACCCTTTGAGTTGAAGGGAATAAAAAACACAGCATGATAGTGGTATCTTTATAGGAGAGAATAGAAATGACTGTTTTCTGAAAGAGAAGCAATTGCAAATGTCACTGACAGTGTTTACAAGTAAGTGAATTCAGCCTATGGAACTTGGATGGTCCTCTTCCAGGGATGTTGTTTTAATATTCCATTAGTGAGCCTTAGGATGTAGTCTATGAGAAGACTGATAAAATCAAGAAATCATCATCAACAACAACAACAAAAGATTCATTGTGTTATGTATGTCACAGGACTACGGAGGGAGGTCCGAAAAAATCAAGATGACGGTCCCTATCATGCAGTCAAAGCTCTGCCCCCCCTTTTTTTTCTTGTGATACATATTAAAGGGGGTATGGCTTCAATTACACAGTTGTGATTTCCATCTTGAAAATTATTTTTAACTGCTTTTAAAATAATGTCATACATTTTTTGTCACCAAAAAAGGCACCAGGTCTTATTTGGGGGGTGGGGTGTCATCCACTGACTCACCTCACTTGCACACATCACCTCCAGCCTCTTTTTCGCTATCAGAGAAATAGTGAAACTTCTTTGTCCGGCAAGGCCAGCAAGGTTTTCCTGAAGGTCTCTGCAGACGATAACAGAGCTTTGGATCGATCCAAAGCTCTGTTATCAGGAAAGCCTTGCCAGCAGAAGAAAAGGGCCGAGGTGTGCGAGGCCTGGTTGCAACTATCCGAAGGCAAGTAGTAGGGCAGCTCCACACCCCCATCCCCACCCTAGCTTAATTTTTACCAGTGTATCCTGGAATGGGCGGTGTTTTAATTAGGGCCTGTTTTGGGGGTAGGACTTATATTGGGCTCACATGTAAAAATCAAGGTAGGACTTACTTTCAGTGTAGGTCGTATATTGTATAAATGTAATTTGTATAAATGAGTTCCATAATTCATTATACAAAATCCATATAAAGTATACATCTATAGGCAGTTGCCCCATTAGTGGCAAATGTAATCAGGTTTTCAATACATTGAGTGAATGAGGCCATACATTTATTTTCCAGTACTACAATATCAGTCTTTTGGCCATAGTGTTGGCACAGAGAATCAATTTACATTGTCCAGTTTTCAGATTCCATGTACATAGTAGGTATGTAATTCAAGAGAAAAATTACATACTCTGACAAATTTAACTTTTGACAGCCTATCATATTTATATAGTCCAATACTTCCCCAGATTTAGTTAGTATAGAACATTATAAAAATAGGTGTTCTATTACAACTCCAATAAAATGCTGTCTTATACACCTTTTCTGTACAAATGTACTAGAGTCCAATATATTCTAAATATTATTATTTTTTGTTTAAGTTGTAGTTTAAGGTCCATTGACACTTTTGCTATAGAAGTAAAGACTATTAATACTATTGGCTAAGCAATATAAAAGGTAAAGGTAAAGGTTTCCCTCGCACGTATGTGCTAGTCGTTCCTGACTCTAGGGGCAGTACTCATCTCTGTTTCAAAGCCAAAGAACCAGCACTGTTCAAAGATGTCTCCATGGCCATGTGGCTGGCATAATTAAACGCCGAAGGCGCACGGAACGCTGTTACCTTCCCACCAAAGGTGGTCCCTATTTTTCTACTTGCATTTTTTATGTGCTTTCAAACTGCTAGGATGGGAGAAGCTGGGACAAGTAACGGGAGCTCACTCTGTTACGCGGCGCTAGGCAATAAAGAAACCTCTAATTCTTTATTCAACTAATTTCTTAGCATTTGCATATCAAATTGATTTATCTATAAATCATAGAAATGATACAATTAAATTTCAAATACAAATTGAAATGTATATTAAAATTCATAATAGGTTATTTAGTTTTAAAGACTTTAACAAGTTGTTCTAGTATGTCAGGTGACTCAGAAGTTGAAAATGTTGCTGGTCCAATAAAATTGCTAACAAATGTAGCTATTAATATTGCCATTGAGTTATATCTGAAAGATGATATTTGTATTTATAAAAAGGTAATAAGGGTGGGAAATACATAAAATAAATAATTTATCTCTTAACACAGCATATGTAAAAAAAAAATATCTTCATCATCTATCAATTGTTTCAAAGTCAATATCCCTGCTTTCATCCATCTTTTTCTCAATTTTTAAAGTTGAGTTTCCACATAATGTCATTTTAACATGGAAAAAGAAATCAAATCTTTTTTTTAGTCAACATTACTTTCCATAACTTTCTAACTTGACACAATTGTTTTCATGGACACTAGAGTTCTAGTATATTTGATCCTAAAATTGTACATCCAACCAAGATGTTATATTCCAAAGTTGCCCAAATCAGAAAATTAATACCAATTGTTGGCTTTCAGTATTTAATACTTGACAATAATTAAGTGTGATGATATAGCTCCAGATTTGGTAAACTGAATCCTCCCTAAAGAATTGATAATTGCATTTTCTATTAATGTAATTCTTGTAATCAAAGAGCCCCATAAAAGTACCTAAATAAGGGATTGGTTTTCTGAAAATAGTTTCCAGATTTTTGAACAGGAACTCTCAAAATATGGGAATAATACTCATTGTGAGAGCATTTACCTTTCTCCAAAGATTGAGATTTAATGATTCCCATCTATTGATATCTTAAGAAAATCTATATACTTTATTTATATCATATGTTACTAACTGGGTTATATTTTTTGGTATGCACCTACCTAGATATTGAAAGGATTTGGTACAAATGCTGAACTGATATATGATTGGGTAACACCAGTTTCACCAATTGGCAACAATTCTAATTTGGACCAATAAATAGAGCATCCTGCTATTTTATTGAATGCCTCTGTCAATTGCATTAATCCTGGAATATTAGTGGGAGGTTTAGAAATAAACAAAATAATATAATTTACAAATAAAACCAATTTATATTCTATTGAATTATTGTTGCCGTCTTGACTTTATGGATTGCCCTTATCTGCAAGCGAATTCCTTTACCTGTTTAATCCTAATATGCAAATATTTATCTTCTTCCCAATAGACTTTATAACAAGCTTACTCCCAGGTCTGCCCCCAAAGATTTGGATTGGTTTACGTTCCCAGATTCATATGCAAGTAAGCAGGTGGACTGATGGCAACGAATTAGGTTATATCAATTTCCATCCTTTGCTTCAAGGAAAACTAAGAGAAATTCAGGTTGATGTAAGTTGTTGATACTATTTTTACACTGTTAAGTTTTCCCTGTGATTTATTTAAAGCAGAAAAAAAGTTTTGCTTTTACTAATTTCAGAGAGAGGAGAAATGGGAAGTTGAAAATAGTATATTCCATCCATTTTGAATACATTGTTTGTAGTTGGGTGGCTTCTTCAGAAATTTAGGTATAAGATTGGGTCATTTATATTACGTTAAATATTGCATGTGATATAATTGTGACAGCAGCATAAGGAATATGATTTTAGTAACAAGCTTAATTATAAGTCACAGTAGGTAACGTCACCTAGTCCAAGGATCCCCAACCCACAGCCCATTATTGGGCCATGGCCCATTTGGAACTGGGCCACGCAAGCAGTGGGCAAATGCGCACACATGCAAAGCTCTATTTGTGCAAGTGGTAGATGTGCACATGCACCCACCACTCATATAGAACCATCCTCCCTCCCCCCACTGATCCGCCAAGCTGAAAAGTTTGGGGACCACTGACCTAGTCGACCGGTGCTGATCTTGGGAAAGCTAACCAGGATCAGCCCTGCTGAGTGGAATGAGAGAATATTAGACTAAGCTAAGAAAATCAGAAAAAGAAGGTGATGACACAACCTCCCATATTTTTAACTGAGAGAGTAATGTGGACCTTTCTTATACTCATCAGTTATTATGTGGACCTTTAATCAGAACTTTTTACTTTAATCTCATTATAATGAAAGGGAAGAAAATGTAACTTAAAAAACCAAAAGTAACAGTCATTTCTTTTCTATGACTTCATATTTCTGGTTTAACTGAAATCCAAACAAAATCACTTGGTCAATTTTTATTTTTGTCTTTTGCGATAAGATAGCTTCACAAATCATGGTGTCAGATGGATGCTTTTGGTAAATTAGAGTTAAGACTGAAGGTTTGGATTCAGACCCCATAGCTGTGCAAGAAGGAAACAAAAATTTATTCTGAAGTCAGAATTAAGCTCAGGACTTTTTGAGAGGTAGCATTGTGGGAGAATGCCGAATAGGTCTCTTGTGCTCTCATTTTATTTCAGAGCCACAAAAATGGACAGAGCAATAGTCCACGCTAGTGCTATATTCCATCTACCCTACAACAAAATTGTAAAAGGGAAGGTTTGGAATCAATAATTATTATTTTTAATAAATGAATCTTTAATGAATGAAATTAATAGGCAAAAGGGGCTTGCCAGCCAAAGGATCTCAAGGATGATGAAAGGGGCTAGTCTTCAGGTAGCTTCCAATGGCTGGGTTGGAAAAGTCCAGTAGTGGGAGAGTCGATTTTGAAATCAGTTGCTCTACCAAGTTAGTGTCCAGTGTGGACAACTGGATGCCAACATATCAGCTGTTGTAGACAAAACCTCATGCGGGACCCTGTTTATCAGGCACATGACATATTGTTGGGTAGCATTGCGTAGCGAAAAGGGGAACTTTTTGCGTACTCACTTATTTCCCTTGGCTTGTAAGAACATACCATGGATGCTACTCTTCTCATTGAGAAGGAGCCGGGGGAGGAAGCAGGGGCTATATGTTTTTGCTTGATAAAGAAACGTTGGAGCCAGGCCTCTGGCTGCTGTTTGCTGCTTGGGATGCAGTTTATACAGTCAATGTTTCATATCCGTTCAGGTTTTCAGTTGGTAAACGGTGCCAATTCTCACTCCTTCAAAACTTTTCCTTCCTGATTGTTGCCCATAGCAGGCAGGCAGGTCATTATACTACTTCATTCATTAGTTAAAATTGTCCAGTAATGATGGAATGGGAGATGGAACATTTCTAGAAAATGGAGTGTGTTATTTTGAACTTACAATACTCAAAATTGCTGTTCGTTTTGATTTCAGCATATTTTCCACACTGCTACTAGGTAGAACATTGTTTTTTGTTGCTAGTTGCAAAGTCGTGTCCGACCCATCGGGACCCCATGGACAATGTTCCTCCAGGCCTTCCTGTCCTCTACCATCCTCTGAAGTCCATTCAAGCTCACACCTACTACTTCGGGGACTCCATCCAGCCACCTCCTTCTCTGTTGTCCCATTCTTCTTTTGCCCTCAATCTTTCCCAGCATT